CAGCGATGAGGCCAGGTGGTTAGCTGGATTTCAACAATGCTTTCCCCTTGTTCCCAGGGCTTCAGTTCTATTCATTTGTACAGGTCTATAGACGTGTAGGTGTGCAGCCAATCCATGCTAATGACCAGACGCTAAACCTCCTTCAGGGGTAGCAAGTCACAGAGTAGTGTCTATCAGCACGTGTTTTGTCATTGTCAGAGCATCTGCATTTGTCCCCAAGACTGTGCTTAAAATCAGAAACCCAAAGTGACATGTTCCCTCCGACCAGGTGGATCCACAGGCCCTTCAGTGACAGGAGCCTGCCTGGTGCTGCATCAGCGGCCTGAGGGACACTCGCTTACTTGAGTTTTGAGAAATCATTATGCACTGTACTTAATTTGTAGAATTGTCATTGAAAATTCATTGACTAATAGAATGAGGAGTGGTCACAACAGTCATCCTGTTGGATTTGATTTTCATTGCTTATTGTGACCTACTTACTATGTCTCAAGGTCTCCTCTGTTCCTGATATTTTTAACTAAGTCACGTATTTAGGATGATAAGAGTGGAGAACTTTTCAATATCAGGAGAAAATACAGACAAAACTCCCCAGAGAATTCTTAACGTCTCTGCTGAACCATGGTAGCTCTCTTCAGGGATGTTTGCTTTGGGATCAGGGGACATTGGGACTTAAAGACCACAGACACTGTTTTTTGGAGAACATGAGAAATTTTCTTAGGTGGAGGAGAGCATTTGGAAGTGCTCACATTTATTTTTATCCAGTATCAAAATAAAGTAGGAAGCAGGTACATGAAAGTGAATCTTTGTCTTCATATTGTGAATTGTATATTAAAGTCCATTCTCTTTCTCTTCTTTTCATTAATCCCTTCAAAAATATATATCCACTATGTACCAGGTACCGTGTGTGTGTGTGTGTGTGTGTGTGTGTGTGTGTGTGTGTGTGGTAGCAGGGGATGAAGGCAGAACACAGAGCCAAACCTTTCAGATGCACTCATATCTAATAAGGCAGGCAGGGCGGGGCCAGGGCAACAGCAGCTCCTAGCTCAGCTGCCAAGACTCGTTTTTCAGCCAAGGGCATATTGCAAAATCCTTCCTCCATCCTATTCTATCTTCAGGCATATCAATCCCAGTAATGTTTTTTGTTTTTTTTTTGCGGTATTGGCGTTGGAATTTGGGGCCTACACCCTGAGTCACTCCACCAGTCCTTTTGTGGGAAGGGTTTTTTTCGACAGGATCTTGAGAACTTTTTGCCCCATCTGGCTTCAATCCTCCTTATCTCTACCCCCTGAAGAGCTAGGATTTACAACCCTGAGTCACTGGCAGGTGCAATAATTTTCAATTTTACTTGTTACCAATATTGGACTACCAATATTGGTAGCATGACACTTTTAACGTTCTTCCTCTGCCCACTATTCAGCTCCCTTTTGTCTTAATTAAAGCTGCTGCCCAGGGGAACACTGAGTGATTTGATTAATCTCCTTCAGTTCCAAACCTAAAGAAACAGTAATGCCCCAGATGACCACTAGGTGGCGGTGATCGCCTCGGACAAGGAAAGGGATCCTAAACCAGAGAGCTGGATGGGGAAGAAGGTCTTGAGGGGGACAACGTGTGTCCTCTTTTCAACATGAAATGTGTGATGCTCTGTCTCAGTATTAACACGGGAAATGACAGGAACAAAGTGACAGACGACCATGCTATTTTTGGAAATTCATTTTAATCCTAAAACTGAAATGTAGATTAGGTATTTACATTATGTACAAGTTACCCAAGACAATCTGGGGCGCAGGTGACAGAGCCTGGGATTGGGTTTTCATGTGATGCCCAGCGCAGTGCCTCTCTCTTACGCCTCCTAAGAGGGACGGTCCAACTGGTTCCATGTTTGACTTTAGGACTCTCAATGAAGGTGTGCAGGGAAGTTTTCACATTGGATGATTCTTCCTTTCTGAGTTCAGGTGGCAGAGGGGCAGAGATGGTCTCAGGAACTGGGACACCCCCACCACTTGAGAGCCTCTACCCAACCAGGTCTGGGCCATAGCCCTGACATACCTCCAGCTCAGCTCAAGGGCCACGAAGGGCCTCCCTCTGTGATTCCAGCCTAGGGATGGATTGTGTATTGACCTGGAGGAAACCTAATGACACTTACTCAGAAAAAGACTCACACATATCCTAGCTTGGCCTGGAGCTGGAGCTCGGCCTGGAGGTCTTCACATACCTCTTACTAGTGACAGGCAGGTTGGGATTTCCCACCACAGCAGGATTTCTAGACTTTGCCACCTATGCTGAATTCTGCCCTCCCAAGGCTGAAGTATTTGAAAAGGGCAATCTTTGTCCCAGGTCTCCTGAACCATGTTCCAGGAAGACATCCCCACGCAGTGGGCTCCAGGAACTCAGCAAGTCCAGGTCTTTCCGCTGGGCTCTTCTTTCCCACCAGTGTACTTGGCCTAGAGTCTTCCCTCAACAAGGCTCCTGCTCCTGTGAGCATTGTCACCTCTAATTCTAGTTTCTTGCCCTCCCTGGGTCTCCTCTTAATTTTCTGTACAGTTGTAGTCTCTCCAACCCTACCCCCATAACCTCAATGTTGCAATAAGCTACAGGAGGGTTTATGATGCCATTTCTAGTGGTAGTGGATGTCACTGGTGATTGTCTAGCCTAATGGCAGGACTGAGTTGCTCATCTCATTGGAAAGAAAGCAGAGAGTTCACGACATGTACAGTGGACCTTTGCGGTCCACTTATATCTGCTGAATTTTTCCGTTAGATGAACCCCTCTGTGAGATTCATCAGTGTTGTGCCTGCCCCAGGGAAGGTCAGTGGGACTGTCTGTAATCCTGGGGTGAATAGTGAGGTCCCGGAGGGCTTCTCTCTGCTCTTGTGGAGTGGGGAGGCTCGTTGTGGGCAAGACTCCCTTACTCTCAGTCAGCCATTTCATGAGAATCAAGTGCAGCATGAGAAAGGCTGGAGAAGAGGAAGAAGGGCCTTGGATCCCTGCAAAGGTCACAAGACCCACACCCGAGGGCCCAAGGAGAGGACTATTATAGTCATCCATGATGATTGAGGTTGAGTGGATCCCCTGGGAAGTGGATCCCCTGGATCTTCCTAGGTGACCTGCACCAAGGAACCTGAGCACCCTGCCTCCTCATGGGATTTTTCTTTTCTTAGCTGTGCTATAATTCCAAAACCCGCCAGTGTGCATGATAGGAAACCATGTGACCCCTGAGTTCATCCCCAGCACCTGATTCTTTCCAAAGCACACTTTTCCAGCAGAGCCAGAAAGCATCTCTCACACTGAGCTGTCAGGACACTCTGCCCATGAAACAAGACTTTTGTTTCCATTTCTCACTTCTGCCTTTTCATGCTCTAAGCCGAGCAAGGACAGGGAGTTCCAGCAGCCACTGGGGCAGTGAGGAGAGCCAGCAACACCAAGGGCTTTTGTTGATCAGGCCACTCTGAACACAATGTCCATCCTCACCCTGTGGCCATGTGTTCTGTAGCCAAGGGCCTTGGTGACTGTCTGCTTCTGCAACTTACTAGAATAGGCTGTGAAGACCTCCAGAATTTTAGAGTCTGTGGACTCCTCCTGATATCTGCTATGTTTTTGCACACCTGGAGCACTATTCTGGATGCTGACCTGGATCAGAACAGAGGACAAGTCATCAAGCCAGGGACCCTAGAGTGGATACCAATTTACAGTGCCCTGGAACCCTCTGGGACCAACTCAGCCAGAGCACAGAGCTCATCCCTGGGCTGAGTGGGCCCTCACTTTCTCCTGAATCCTGAGAGTGGCCCCTGGGTAATGAAGTGGGCTCTTTCCAAATGCTCCCATCCCAAGTCGCCCTCAAATTCCTGTCATCTCCTCCCAGGCCACTTTGTGAAGCCCACAGGGGTGACCAGATGAATGAGCCTGGTCAGCGGATGGTCTTAGTCCAACACCAGGAGAGAAGGAGACATACGATTGCCAAGTGGCCTTCTATAGGCCAGCCCAATGTGGGCCAGAAGCTGCTGCAATGGGCAGTGCAGTTGGACTCCTGGCTGCCTCACCCTGATGGTCCCATCACAGGTGGGACTCAGACAGAGGGTTGCACAGGACTCATGTGCAGCTGGAAATCAGCACAGGAGAATAGTTGTCCCCAGGATGCCTAATTACATGTGAGCAGAACCTGTGGACCCAGGTACACCTGACTCCCAGACACTGACACTGCTGGTCACCTCCATGGCCACTGCATGTTGTGGCCCCCACTCTCCAGGCTGGATTGCAATGGAGCTTCGTAAGCAGCCTCCCTCCATCTCAGGCAACAGCACAAGGATAGGCCAGAAGCCATGGCCAACATCTGATGTAACTGCTGGGGGCTCCGTCATGTTCCAAAGAAAGTCAAGGTCCTCCAGAGCCACTGGGCTCTTACAATTCCTGAAAGCATGTCCCCCACCCTTGATCCTTCACTTGGGGCCTGTTTTCCCTCAGCCTGGGAACACTGCTCCATCCCCCCTCGCTAGTCAGGCTCTGAGTCTTAGGCACTTTCTCCTGCTGGCCTGTCTGTGCTTCAGCTGGTTCAGCTAGGACACAGAGGGAACGGCCTTCCCACTGGCTCATCAGGACTTCCTAGGACATTGTTCCTATTATTTTCACCCGGGCTGACCTGGATGATACATCTGTCCCCCTTCCTGCTGATGATAGAGGGACTGCAAGTACAGGGAGTTGGAGAGGTATGAGAAAAAGGTGCCGTGTGTACAAGTGGTCGCCATGGGTGTTGTGGAGCCTGATGCTAGGCAGGGGTAGCTGGAGGTTGAGATGATATGGGGGACTCTCTGAGGGATGACTGGAGGATGACTGCAAAAACTGTGGGAGACAGCAACATCAGCAGAAGCCCAGACACAGCAGGGTTCCCAGCTCTCTGGGCAGCCAGCCCTGGGGGATTTGGAAAGGCTTGTTTAGGACCCCAAGCTTCTGGACCCTTGTGTGGACAGAGAGTGTAGAAAGCTGTCACCAGGAGAGGAGGGGGATGATCAGGTGGTCACCTTGTCTTCCAGGTCAGCAGAAGCCTCCAGGGTAACAGTCTTGTGGATGTCCTTCATGTCAACGCTAGAAGAGCCTGCCAAGTACAGGCTGCAGGGATCTCCGGTGTCCTCAGTGCTGAGATCAGGGCTGCACCTGACCTCATTCCAGGGTTCTCCCTGGAAACTGCCGCTCCTGTTCACAGTTGTGTTGGAGGCCTGGTGGCTGGATGGAAGGGCTGGCTTATTTCAGGAGCCTCCCCAAGTACACATCCAGCCCCAGTACCTAACCAAACTCTGCTTGAAGCACTGTTCTTGATGCTTGGTCAGTGACCAGGATCCCATTCACCTGGCCTTCTGAGACATCACCCATTTCTCAGATGAGAAAACACAGGCCAAGAGAACTGAGGTCACACCACTTAGTCACAGGGCAGGCCAGAGCTGAGGTGGGATGCCAAAGCCAGCTTGTCAGGCTCCCTTTCCCACTGCCAGGACCTTCTCTTTCCCTTGACTACCTGGGATCAGGCACTTACTTGCTGAAGCATTTCCCCCTGGCTCCAGTCCTCTTGGTCTTCATGGAGAAAAAGGTTTTCTTTGTGCGTGGCTCCAAGTCACAAGCCAGTTTGTAGCTGTGGCAGTGGTGGCTATCAGGCTACCAGGAGCCACACCCTGGCTCCAACCCAGTGCCTCTCTTGGAAGTTTGAGCCCAAATCCCAGGCATTGCTAGACAGCAATGTGACATGCTTACAGGGCCACAGCCTCAGGCTCTCAGGAGCCAGTCCCAGATATGCAACCCCTGTATTCCCCCAGTGCCTGCCCAAACTCACCTCTCATCCATGGTGAGCACTTCCGTGTCCCTAAACCACTCCAGAAAATACTCATGAGGTCGGAAAGAGTAGTTTTCACAGGCCGACTGGAGCATAGTTATATTTGTGATGACTTTAAATTCCTGGGCCAGGGAGAGGAAAGGATGGTGACCGGCCTGACTCACTGTCACTCCTCTCACTCTGACCCAGGTTCCTCCATGTTCTCACAGCAGGGTTCAAGCACCCACTCCCAGGAAGCAATTGAGTCACACCTTCCTGTGAATGGCCCATCCTCTCTGCACCAAATGTCCCAGATATCAAGAGGCAAAGATGGAGCTAAGTGTACAACACAACCAAGAATCCAGGTCCAACCCCTCAGAGGGCGGAAGCATGGACTTACCTTCCTCCATTTATCCAGATTTACTTGCCCACCCTAGAAGACAAAGCCAAGGTGCTTAGAAAACAGCCCCTCCACCACTCAGACCTCCCAGCCTCCTACTTAGCTTCCAAAGTGGCCACCAGGGGCACACCACACCTGAACTAAGGCCAGCTTTCAGTCCTGGACAGGGTTAAGTGGGCTTCTAGGTTCAGGGCCCTTTTTCCCCAACACTCTCTGAGGACATCAGAGAGTGAGTCTTCAAGTGAAAAAGCCCTGCTTGTCCCACATGCCCCCTGACCTTGGAGGACCTGGTGTCACACTCCCATGGTCACCACCCGATGGACTTGCCATCCACCTACGATTGTAAGGTCAAGCAGCTCCAGGGAATCAACAGGTACCATTGGTGCAGTGGGTATAAACTGGGCAGCTGTGAGGCCCTTGTGTCTTGTGAGTTGTGACAACTCAGCGGTCACCGAGGGGCCGTCACCACCCAGCCCTAGTTCCCCAAACCCGTGGTCACTCACATGGATGTATTCTTCCATACTGCTCTCCACCCTGGCCATGATATTTAGGAATGTTCCCAGGAAGGGGATGGCTCCACTGATGACACCCTGAAGCATTGTGAGGGGTATAATAAGCAAAGTCCAGGGCCCTGTGCTGAGGGCTTCTTAGCCTGCCCCTATTCCCACTAGCAACTCCCACTCAGAATAGTCTGAGGATCAAGGCATTCTCTCCTGTCCTCAGGGCAACTCCTCCTGGCACTGCGACCCCCAACTACCTCTGTTCACTTCCCAGGCAGGCATTTGGAACATCTGAAAAGTATTTGACCCCCTCCCCACCCCCACCACCCTCGGGATCTGCTGGCTAGAGTTCATGTTGCCAGGATGCCAGATGTTCAGTGTGCCTGGACCTGCCACGCTCCATAGCTGGTATCTCATGGTGCATAACCGTAAGTGGGGCAATGGGTGTGAATATCTGGTGGAGCCATGTCCACTACAGCTTCCAGGGTGCCCTAGCCTTGGGCATGTTCACTCAAGCTCTCCTTTGGATGCCCACGGCCTCTCCAGATATTCCTGCACAGGGTGGCCAATTTGGAAGTTCCTCCCTGTTGAGGTTGAGGTGACATTAGCAAGGACATCCTCTCACCACTCCAGTTCCCAAACCCTGTGCCTGAAAGTGTCCTGAAGGGCTGTACCAACACTCCTGACATCTGCTGTGGCAGTTGTGGATTAGGTCTCTGTCCTAACACTCCTTGACATGGATCCTCACCTGCTATCCTGGCCTCCCTCTGCCTGTTTTCTCATCTGTAGTATGCGGATAACCACACAGCTGTGTGTGTCATGGGGACGGTGAGGACCCAATCTCTCCTTCTTGCCATTGGTGCTGTTCTGACTCCCCCTCCACAGTAAGTCCACCTGAGGACTCCTGTCCTTCCTCTTCTCCCTACCAACTCATAGTCACCCTTGGAATCAGCACCTAGGCTCATCATCCCTCCAATTGACAGATGAGAAAACAAAGCCAGAGAGGTCTGGTGACATGCACAAGTCCTTTCAGGGGCAAAGGGACAAGGGGTCCAGCTCCCATAGGTTCCTCAACAGTGTCCTTGATGTGCCAAGAATCCTAGCAGAGCTGAGCCCGAGGGAAGAGGGATAAAATGTCTCAGACTCCTGCCTGCTCCAGTCCTCCTGAGGTCACTGCCATCATGAAGAGGCCCAAGGCTGTGCCAAAGGCTTCTCATCTCCATAAGCTCATTCATGCCGTTCCCCAGCACAAAAATGCCTTTGTCCACTCGGGATTGAGTTCCCAGGGGCCATGTCTGCTTACAGTTAGACCATGACCAGGTACAGTGAGGCTCTGTATCCTCTTTTATATGGAATCTTTGGGAGCATTTTAGCAGAAACTCATGGTGAGTTCATGGGTGACAGGTAGTTCTGAGACCCTTGGGTACCCTGCAGCTCCCAGTTGTGTGGGAGCCTTCCTAGGTTCTCTGTGACCATCGCCATGTCTTCTCTAGGAAAAGGTGAACTTAGATCTTCTTCCTGGTCTGGATGTGTGGATAGGTGACTTCTATGCCTACCTGGTCCACAGGCAGCCAGCTGTGATACCACATTCTTAAGCAGGCCACTTTCCTGGCTGTGCTGCCCACATGGAAGGTGACAGGGATCTGGCTTCAAGGGAATGGGATGGGATGCTTTATGGTGGCAGTGCCATCCCCTTCTGTGCACTCAAGAGTCAGGCCAGTGCTACACCTCATGAGGGAGCAGCAGACCTCCCATCCAGCTGCTTCCTCTACTCTCCACAAGCACCCTGGCTGCCTCTACTACATTCCTTCAGTAAGGACGCCTCTTCCTGAAACAGTGCCCCACCTCCCTGAGCACCAAACAGATCCCTCTTCCCTTCATCCAGATGAAACAGGCCTGGAACGCTACAAAACCATTTCCACATAGGAACTAACGATCCTGACACCCCCAATCCCCTTTGCCTACTGCCACCTGCACTCCGACTTCCACCTACCTGACAGAGCAGCTCTCTGTTCACAAGCTGGTTGGTTTTGTGAGTCAAAGACTTTGACATAGTTTGGAATGCTTCAAAGCTCCTTCTACAGGAAGGTCAGAGAGAAGGTGACAGTTGGTCAGGGTGGGAGAGGAGATGAGTGTGAATCCATTTTTTTTTTTATAAGCCCAAGACTCCACCTGACCAGAGGAGAGGTTTACAAATGTTTCCACTGTGCATGAAGGATGTGTGGGTCTGGAGCAGGACCTTACTGTTTGCACAACAGATCCCCACCATTTCCAGTGAGGGCGCCATTTTATTTTAAATCCACAGAATTCTGTGGCTACAATGTAAGAAGAAGAAAATCTCCCATATGGCCCTGTCCTCTGTGACATGCAAGGAAGCCAAACCCTGCCACAGATTTACTGCCCTGGGTTCATCCGTACAGTACTGGATATCAGCAACCCTGCTCTCAGTGATTGCAGCCGGCTTAATTGTGGGTTCACAGTGGCCATGGTGCACCTGAAGAGAGAAGTTCACCCACCTGGCAACCTCTTTCCATGTCCTCTGCAGGCGGTGGATGGCCTTGCTCTGCAGAGCGGTGAGGATGGCACAGAAGGAGGAGAAGTTCTTCAGAACCTGACATTCCTGGGGATGAGGACTCAGTGAGGCATACGTGGAGCTCCTTTCTACTGCCTCAGGCCCTGGGGCTGAGACAGATGGTGGGGAACTCCAGGGTCATGCAAGGGACCAAGGAGTAAGCAGACCAGGATGTCAGCTCACCCCCAGGCCACAGCGAGAGGAGGTACTCAGCACTGTGGCCGTGGACTCTGACTTTCCAGTCACTGTCACCCTGGGAAGGACGGACCTGGCATCTATGCAGGGAATCTGACCATAGCCCATACCTTGAGAGCAGAGAGAGCAGAAGGGGTTGTCCCGGGCCCCTCCTGCTGCATACCCAGGCCACCTCGATCCAGTTCTCCACCACCATGGCTCTGTCAGAAGCATCCAAGTTCTCATCCCCAACGCAGGTTTGGATCACACAATTCACCACATAGTTAAAGTGGGTGACAACGGCACGAACGGTGGGTGCCACATGCCCCTTTGCGCTTTTGTCCCCTTGGAACCAGATGTACTCCAGACATTGGTAGGGCACCACCTTCTTGAACAGCTCCTGGGGGCAAGGTCAGTGTCACCTGGCACTGTTGCAAACTACTGCCCCCTGGCCCAGGTTGGCTCTCAGATGTAGGGTTATAATTTGTGAATCTGTGGATGTGGCTTGATCACAGTGAAGGTGTCTGGATTTTGCATCCTGACCATCAAGGACGCCCAGCACCTGAGTCACCAAAAAAAAAAAAAAAAAAAAAAACCAAAAACAAAGAAAAGGATGCCAGGAGAGGGAGAGTGGCATTTTCTAAACTCTCAGTCCACTCCCCGGAAAGTGGCTTACCCTCTATGTCCAAGCACCTCTAAGGTGACACCTCTGGCCTCCCCTAGGTAAATACTCTGTTTCCAGTCCAGCAATGTTTTTGTTACGACCAGATGCTAGTCCTATGTCTGCCATGTGTGTAGTGCCCCTCAGGCGCCTAATGAGTGCTGAGGCTGGAGAGGCCCCCTGGGCAGACAGAGGTGTCCCATGGCCTAGCTGCACCTCTGCTTCAATACCTGATTCTTCACAGTCACTGATGGTTGGGCCCATGTCCCCTGTCCAAAGGGGAAGGGGGGTTCGGTCATGGTGTGTGCATCAGTGGAGCTGGACATGGACTGGAAATCGGCTCTGGACCAGGGTTGGCAGATCTGGACAGCAGAGGCCAGAAGGAATCCCTCCCCTTCCCTGCATGCATGAGACACTCACAGCGTCGATTGGTGTGAACTGCTGTGCCACCAGCTGGGGAGGGAAGACCATAAAGGATGGCTTCTTCTCGCTGGCTTGGCTGTCCACTGACTCCAGGGATTCCCAGGAAGCGCCCCTTGGTAGGAATGCTGCCGGAGCTGGCTCAAGCTCAAGGGACTGTGTGCGAGCTGGAACCCATTCTGGAGAACATCCAGAATATGACTGGTGCTCTAGAGCTACCATTTGAGTGGGCTCTTTCTCCAGGGCAGGTGTTAGAGCCCTCTCTGCCTCTGAAGATTGCGATAGCAGCAGCAATGGACCTAATGACGGTATAGCCATGGGGTTGTGTGCCAGAAGAGGCGCCTCAGTGGGCTCTGGCCGTGGAGCTGTTCCAAGACAAATCACTGCAGATGGAGAGATGCAGGAAGAGACAAATTTCCTTGTTGAGCTTTTCCAAAAGCAGAAAAATAAAACAAACAAGGAAAAAAACCCTGTTGCCTGCCACAGAAGCACCCAACAGGATGCCCTGCCAAACCCTATCACACTGCCTGTGTGACCCCTGTCTCTCCCTTTCTCCAGGCCCAATGGCGGCCTTGGAGCTTCCATATTGTGGGGCCCAGCACAGACTGCTCTTCCTGTGGTCTGTGTTCTCCCCAGGCTCCTCACCCTCAGACTTTTCCTCGCTGGATACCAGGTGTTCAAGGTGGACAAGGAGAAGTTTGGCATGGCGCTCTTCATCTGAGCCAGGCATGTTGAACTTCAGGTAAGCCACCAGCTTCTTGAGGCAGGGGAAGTCTGGAGGTTCAGTGAAGTCCCTGGAGTACTCGTTCAGCCAAGTACCCAAGATGTATGACATGGCTCTGGGAGCAGACAGGCAGCGAGCAGAGTCAGAGGCCTGGCCCTCCCACCCCAGGCTTCTCACAGCACACGCGTGACAACTGGAATCCTGTGACTGCCCCTGTCCATTCAGAGGCCAGCACTCCCCAGCCCAAGCCCCTTTGTCTGTCCAGACATCGGCAGGTCAGGAAACCAGGTCAGGTAATCAGGCAAATTCTGAGGGAGGGAAACCTAGATCAAAGGTGTGAGCCGTTCTTCCTTTTCTGGGAAGCCCCTCACCCTATACTGTGTGTCATGCACTGTGTCATTCCCACAGCCTGGGCCTTCATCTTCGCAACATCTTGTGCTGCATCGAAAGCACTCCCCTCCTGGAGGCTCCTGCTGCTCCATTCTGCATGAGTCATGTTTAAGGTGTCTTCCATGACATTGTTCTCTGAGTGGCATAGCCTGACACGCTCGAGCACACATTGAGCCTCCAGGAACCAGCTGTAGTGTCTATTCCTAAGGTGTGAAGGCCTCAAAACTTTTCTGTCCCTGTGATGTCCAACCGGGTGTAATGCGCTGTGATGAGGATGATGGATTCTCATAGGGCCCAGCTCTGAGACCCCAACCTCCCTGCTGTTCCACAGGTACTCAAGTGCCCTCCGTCAGGGCTCTGTCACAATAGCTATTGTCTCCCTCCACCTGCAGGCAAAGCCCTTGACCACAATCCTCTAGGGGGAATTATAAGATATACGGGACCCACAGTTTGGCCAGCCTTCCCCAAACCGTATCTCCAAATATCGCCACTGGAGACAGGTGCCATCCCTCTGTCCCAAAGGCCACTCACAGTTTGAGTTGCTGCCGTGGTCCACCAACCTCATTAGAGTAGAGGAAGAAGGAGGCGTATCTAGAGGAGGCCATGAGAGAGTCACATCTACTGTACCTGCTTATGACGTCTAGGCTTCCTGGCTGACTCCCCAATAGGAATGGAGCTGAGGATGGCAGGGATTTTTCTGTTCATCTCACTGAATGATGCTAAGTGTGTGGAAATTTTCCAACACACACACAATAGGTGCTGCCTATAGATTTGTGCAATGAATGAGCCCACCTGGATCCTTCCACATGCCACAGTAGTCTTGGGGCACCTTGTCTACATCCTCCAGATGGCCTGTGGGACCATCTCAATAATCTGGTAAATGCTTTGCCAATGCTTCAGATAAGAGAGGCCTCAGGCAGAGAACTGCGTCATGGGGGAGGAGAAGTCTCCCATGAACTGTTCACAGACCCAGAGACCCGGGCAGCCCACTGTGCAGGGCCAGGTCTGCCAAGCACCTCCAGGGTTCATCCCACTTGGTCCTGGCAACACCCAATGAGGGTTCATCTCTGAGTACACCATTCCCCATAATCAGACTGGAATACCACAGGCCAGGGTCAAGCCTAAGGCCTAGGCAAGTGAGGGTGAGTCCCCTACCTGGGAAGTAGCACTTACCTAGTGAACAGCAGGTCCAGTACCTGCTGGGTGGTGGCAAAACGTCGATAAGTGCATAGGAAGATAGGGATGTATGTCGGGTCCCCGAACAGCAGGGCAGGCACCAGGTGGTCCACCAGCTCCTCCAATGTGCCTGCTTTGAGCATCCCTGCCTTGCAGGGGTCCGCCAGAGTCGGGGCCAACTCATTTGCACCCTGACCAGGAAGAGTGAGAGACAGTTCAGACATGGTCACAGCAGTAAAATGGAAAATCACCAGTTGCCAGACACAAAAGTGAAGACGGCCCAGAAGAAATTTTCCTGGATACACACACAGACATACATGTTCGGGGATGGGTGGGTGCTCCCTGGAGGGTCAGAGTTTTGCTGGCCCTCATCACCTTCCCTGGGTCACCCTGAGTCACCTTTAGGATCCTGTGGGAAAATCTCCTGAGTCGGCCAGAGCGAGAACTGACCCAGCGTGTCAAGACATGGTCATGACCTTCACTCTGGGTTGTCCTGTCTCTGAGCCTTCGCATGCACGGAGACAGCAAGGGAACATGTTTGTCTCTCCAGTTCTCCAGCGAAGTGAGCTGCTGGGGCCGCTCTGGAATGTGAGTGCCTGTCCCCGCATTCCAGGTTCTGCTTCGTCCATTGTCAACTGTGAGGTCATTTGTGGAGTGCCTTCATCTCAGCTGTTTCTGCACAAGACCTCCCAAAGATGCCCTTGGCTACTGACTTCCCCACCCTCAGGCTATGAGGAAAACTGGACACTGTCACACCCACTTACCCAATGCCATTGTCTTGGGGCAGAAGTGGGTATAGTCAGTGCCCTAGCTTTACTGGTTTTGGTTTAATTTACTGGGCCTGGATTTTGAACTCAGGGTATTGCGCCTACAAAGCAGTGGCTCTACCTCAAAACCAACCACAGGTCCAGTGACCCAGTTTTTTGGAGACAGCAGTTTGGTTTAGACACAGACCTTCCTTCTGACAAAGTGTGAGACTCACCACAAGTCTCTCTGCCTCTCGGGGCCTCCCCAGTCTCCCCACTTAACTCTGTGCAGGTCAAGGTCTTTGCTATAGCAAAACAAGAGGCTGAGAACTGTGGTGCCCTTGGGCAAGTCTTAAATTCTGAGTGTCAGTTTCCTAAGTGATCATAGTACCTACTCAGAGAGTTAGCATAAAGCAGGAAGGAAGAATTGCTTGTAAAAGGGCCATGCTGTGCCTGGCACAAACTAAGTCTTCAACAGACTTGCCTAATGCTAGTATTTGTACAACAGGGAATTCAGGGACAAGCTCTGTTTTGCGAGAGCTTCTTTATATTAGCATATAATAGTTGTACAGGGGGATCCATTGTGACATTTACATATATGCATACAATACATCTTAATTAGATTCACCCCCTCTTTTGCTCTTCCTCATCTTTGTTCTTTCCCTTCTTGGAAAACTTCAACAAGATTCTCCTTTTATTTTTTCATACATGCATACAAAATACTTCTCCCATTTTCACCCTCTTTATCCTCTCCTGAGACCCTCCTCTCCTCCTGTTACCCACCAATGGAGAAGACCTGTTTTGCTTCCCTGTCCTTTATTTTTTAAGTGTGTATTGATAGTTGAAGGGGGTTTTACCAATCAAGATGTTGTTCCAACTTCATCTGTAACACTAATTCTCAAGCTTTTCTTCAAAACTCACGTACAGGGGCTGTGTGCTGTGTTAAAGCTTGTTATCTAGCTACTTGGGAGGCAGAGATGGGGAGGATCATTTTCAAGGCCAGCTCAGGCAAAAAATATTCACGATCCCATTTCAAACAGTGACTGGGCATGGTGGCATGTGCCTGTTTTCCTAGCTGTGTGAGGAAGCACAAATCCTATGGTTCAGGCCAGCCCGGCATAAGGAGAGACTCTATCTGAAAAACATTAATGCAAAAAGTGCAGAGGGTTAAGTAATAGAGTGCCTGCCTAGCAAGCACAATGCTTTGAGTTCCATCCCTAGTACTGGACCAAGAAACAAATGTAAGCTACAGTAACATGTTCCGAATGTTCACAATGTGAAGACAAAGATTCACTTTCATGCACCTGCTTCCCTGCTTTATTTTGACACTCATAAAACTAAAAAGCTTCTGTTCATCAAAAGAAATGGTCTCTAAACTGAAGAGAACACCCACAGAGTGGGAGAAAATATTTGCCAATTATACATCAGACAAAGGACTGATAACCAGAATATACAGGGAACTTAAAAAACTAAATTCTCCCAAAACTAATGAACCAATAAAGAAATGGGCATGGGAACTAAACAGAACTTTCTCAAAAGAAGAAATTCAAATGGCCAGAAAACACATGAAAAAATGCTCACCATCTCTAGCAATAAAGGAAATGCAAATTAAAACCACGCTAAGATTCCACCTCACCCCTGTTAGAATAGCCATCATCAGCAACACCACTAACAACAGGTGTTGGTGAGGATGCGGGGAAAAAGGAACCCTCTTACACTGTTGGTGGGAATGTAAACTAGTACAACCACTCTGGAAAAAAATTTGGAGGCTTCTTAAAAAGCTAGACATCGATCTACCATTTGATCCAACAAATACCACTCTTGGGGATATACCCAAACGAACGTGACACAGGTTACTCCAGAGGCACCTGCACACCCATGTTTATTACGGCACTATTCACAATAGCCAAGTTGTGGAAACAGCCAAGATGCCCCACCACTGACGAATGGATTAAGAAAATGTGGTATCTATACACAATGGAATTTTATGCAGTCATGAAGAAGAACGAAATGATGGAGAACATCATACTGAGTGAGGTTAGCCTGGCCCAAAAGACCAAAAATCGTATGTTCTCCCTCATATGTGGACATTAGATCAAGGGCAAACACAACAAGGGGATTGGACTTTGATCACATGATAAAGCGAGACCACACAAGGAAGGTATGAGGATAGGTAAGATACCCAAAACACTAGATAGCATTTGTTGCCCTCAATGCAGAGAAACTAAAGGAGATACTTTAAAACAACTGAGGCCAATAGGAGAAGGGGACCAGGAACTAGAGAAAAGGTTAGTTTGAGAAGAATTAATTTCGAAGGTAACACACATACACAGGAAAGCAATTCGAGTCAACTCCCTGTATAGCTATCCTTATCTCAACTAGCAAAAACCTTTGGTCCTTCCTATTATTGCTTATACTCTCTCTTCAACAAAATTAGAGATAAGGGCAAAATAGTTTCTGCCTGGTAGTGAGGGTTAGGGTGGTTAAGGGAGGGGGCAGGGGGAATGGGAGAGAAATGACCCAAACATTGTATGCACATATGAATAAAAAAACCCACTAGTTTTATTTCATTCAGTATTTTGAGCATAATTAAATTAAAATATAATTTGTTGCTTGTCTGAAATTCAAATTTATCTGACATCCTGTATTTCATTTGACAACCTTGCCCTCAGAATGTGTACAATATTTGCATTGACTTAGACTGATTAATGGATGATCAAATAATTGTTAAAATAAGATTGGAATTTAAGTGGTACATTACAGATTTTGTACACAGCACATAAAAATATACTTGAATATAAGCTTAGAAGATTCATAACAATAATTCACTTCTTGCTGCATTGACAGCTAGGAAATCAGGACCACCAAAAAAAATCTAATTAGAGATAAATTGTGATCACCTATAGCAGAAAGAAGATTCTTAAGAGAGAAGACCAGGAAAGAACCTAAATCTACCACATCTATAAACGCTACATGAATAAAAATGGTCAATACTATTATAGAATAGAAAGATCTATGAAACACAATGGAAAATCCACAAGGAGATCCATGTCTATGTAAGATTTTAAATTATGATGACGAGAGCATGCTGTGTATTAGTGAGAGCTGACCTTCCAAGAAACCAGAAGAGATATAAGCCAAAGACACAAAGAAGCCAATTTGCAGAAAAGTCACAAGAAACAAACAGGAGAATCATAGCAATGAAAGAGCAGGGGTGCAATCCACCTGTGGCAGCATGGTAAGAAAGTCCCTCTGTTTTCCTCCATAGAAAGAGAGTGACCAGTATCACCAATCTGCTCTTGGCGTTGTGCTGCATCCTTTTCCTGCTCAGGTGGCCATGTAAACATCACAGCCCTGTCCCATCCAGCCGAGTTCCCCTCTGTATATAGACTGGTTGTCTGATTCATGAATCAAAACCAAAAGCCAATTAGATCTTTCAAACTCAGTTTGCTGAAGTTTAATTCTTTGACATTTGTAAGTAGACACAATTATGGGCACATCTACAACAATGACATTTTCCTACATTTTCAATGATATCAACAATACCATAGGTAAATATGGTGAGGAAGATATCAGGCTCTTCAAAGGAGACATAAATAGGACTGTCAGCATGAGATCTTTAAGAATTTTTTCATTCCATTATTGTTTATAATCCTTATTAGTGAATGAACATCACTTCCTCTAGTATCACTAGGTCGTGATTGGATAAATGAATCAAAGCCATTAGTTTTCCCATAATGTTTTTCTGAATGACGTTATTCATGGATAAGCCCCAGGTGACCTCGTTTGTCCTAGGCAGTCATTGAGCAAGTCTGCTCAAGTCCCTGGGAGAGCTGAAAGAATGATGCTGTCAGCCCTAGTGTTTGGCCAATGCCTGGAGATGGTAATTCCCTCTCTGTGGAAGTTCTGGGAGGGCCATTGAGTGCAGTGTGCAGCTGGTGAGAGGGGAATGGGGTGCACATAAGGTGGGCTTTGGTAATAGGCTCGCAATTTCCCTTTCTTATAGAATACAGTGAAATCAGGGCAGGATGTAAATGGTCACTGTTCTATCTTGTGCACCAAGAACTGCCACAAGCCAATTTATCAGTATAGAAAAGGACAGCTCTCAATCACCTTGACAGTCTAGGTAGCAACAGTAATACTCCCCAGAATCACTGTTGTCCCAATTTCTTAGTATAAATTTACACTTCCTGTCTGTGCTTTCACAAGTTTCATGTTTCGCTTGATTGAGTCCAGAATTACCACATCCCTGGCATTGAACACATCGTAATAGAGAACGTGTTGTGGGACCTTCCCCACCTTGATTTGGTACATACTTTCTTCTTTCCCAAGACTCACAAGTGATTGCAATAGATGACCCAGGTGACCTGGTGATTAACATTTTTCCTCCCAAGTTGGATGATACTTCATTTCCTGTATTAGTAGCAACAAAAAATGATGAGAAAGAGAGAATAGGGATTATTTACTCTGGCCTTCCA